CCCGCCCCCCATCCGGCAGCCAGAGGGACCGGGCTGGGAGGGTAAGGCCTGGGCCCCATGCACAGCCCTGCCAGCCAGGAGCCCGAGTGGTGGGACCTGAGCAGCCCCGGGGAGGAGAGGACCTGGGGGGGGGCATTAACTCTGGGGCCGGTCCCCCCAGGTGAAGTGAAGGGTCACTCTCAGCAGCCCCCCGACTTCTGGGGGAGCCCCGAAAGCACAGTCTTCTCGTGCGGCTGGTGCAGCGAGGCTGAGAGCAGGCCCCTCCCTCCCTCCTGGGTGAGGGGTCTGAGGGGCTCTGTAAGGACTGAATATTGTGTCCCCCAAATTCACATGCTACCCCCTGCCCTCCGTGTGATGGGATGAGGCTGTGGGCCTTTGGGGGAGGATTGTTAGATGGCGCCATGGCTGGGGGCGGAGGCAGGAGGGGTTGGTGCCCTCACAAGAAGAGGGTCTCCAGAGCGCCCTCTGTGGTGGGCACAGGGGAGGCCGGCGGTCAGCGAGCGCCCGGGAGGGCCGCCTGTGAGCCCGGAGACGAGGCCTCCATGAAGCCCGCCTGTGCCCGTGCTCCTGGCTTTCCCAGCCCGGACTGCGAGGAAGAAATGGCGCCCATCCATGGTCCTCTGTTATGGCAGCTGAGCTGACTGAGGCCCTCAGCGCCTTCTCACCCCGCTCTCTGCGCTTCGGGGGGCCCTGAGGCCTCACCCCGCCCGGAAGAGGCTGAGGGTCAGGCAGGGCCTCTGATGCGGGCGCACAGGGAGGGGGGCACAGGGAGGGGGGCACAGGGAGGGGGCACAGGGATGGGGGCACAAGGTGGGGGCCACAGGGAGGGGGGCACAGGGAGGGGGGCACAGGGAGGGGGCATAGGGCTGGGGGCACAGGTAGGGGGCACAGGGAGGGGGGCACAGGGAGGGGGCACAGGGAGGGGGCACAGGGAGGGGGGCACAGGGAGGGGGCACAGGGCTGGGGGCACAGGGAGGGGGGCACAGGGATGGGGGCACAGGGATGGGGGCACAGGATGGCTGAGAAAGGGGGATCCCTCAGTGACCTCCCTGGAGCTGCCCTGGCCCTCGCCCAGCTCACACCTGGCTCTCACAGCCCTGCCTCGGCCCCGGTGCCTGGGCTGCCCTGGGCCTGCCTGAAGCTGCGGGCTGTCCCCAGAGGGAGGGCACTCCTTGGGGCAGTCACTGTGCTTCCCAGTGACCCCGCCAGAGCACACAGGGGAAGGGGGGCCTTCCCCCCAGCCCCCCTCCAGGGTCTTTAGAGGACAGACCTGGTGCTGACAGCCCTCCTGGGCAGAGGGGCCTGGGAAGGTGTGTGTATGTGGGTGAGTGTATGTATGTGTGAGTGTGTGTGAGAGTGTAAGTGTATGTGTGAGAGTGTATATGTGAGTGTGAATGTATACATGTAAGTGTGTGTATATTTGAGTGTGTGTATACATGTAAGTGTATATGTGTGTGCGAATGTGAGTGTATATATGTGAGCATGTCTGAGAGTGTCCACATGAGAGAGTGTGTCTATGAGTATATATGTGAGAGAGTGTGTATATATGTGTATATGTGTGTATGAGTGTATGTGTGTGAGCGTGTGTGAATGTATACGTGTGTGTGCATGTGTGTGTGAATGTATATGTGTGTGTGAGTGTGTGCATGCGCGCGCACGTGTATGTGTGAGTGTGAGTATGTGTGAGTGTGAGTGTACGTGTGTGAGTGTACGTGTGTGTGAGTGTACGTGTGTGTGAGTGTATGTGTGAGTGTGTGTATGTGTGAGTGTGAGTATGTGTGGGTGTGAGTGTACGTGTGTGAGAGTGTGTGTATGTGTATGTGTGAGTGTGAGTGTACATGTGTGTGTGAGTGTGTGTGAGAGTGTATGTGTGAGTGTGAGTATGTGTGAGTGTGAGTGTACATGTGTGTGAGTGTAAGTGTGTGTGTGAGAGCGTATGTGTGAGTGTGTATGTGTGAGTGTGAGTATGTGTGAGTGTGAGTGTATGTGTGAGTGTGAGTATGTGTGAGTGTGAGTGTACATGTGTGTGAGTGTGTGTGTGTGTGAGAGTGTATGTGTGAGTGTGAGTATGAGTGTGAGTGTACATGTGTGTGTGTGAGTGTATGTGTGAGTGTATGTGTGAGTGTACGTGTGTGTGTGAGTGTAAGTGTGTGTGTGAGAGTGTATGTGTGAGTGTGAGTGTGTGTATGTGTGAGTGTACATGTGTGTGTGAGTGTAAGTGTGAGAGTGTATGTGTGAGTGTACGTGTGTGTGTATGTGTTTGAGTGTACATGTGTGTGTGAGTGTGTGTGAGAGTGTGTGTGTGAGTGTATGTGTGAGTGTATGTGTGAGTGTGAGTGTACGTGTGTGTGAGAGTGTATGTGTGAGTGTGAGTATGTGTGAGTGTACGTGTGTGAGAGTGTATGTGTGAGTGTGAGTGTGTGTATGTGTGAGTGTACATGTGTGTGTGAGTGTAAGTGTGTGTGTGAGAGTGTATGTGTGAGTGTGAGTGTACGTGTGTGAGAGTGTATGTGTGAGTGTGAGTGTACGTGTGTGTGAGAGTGTATGTGTGAGTGTGTGTGTGAGAGTGTGTGTTTGTGTGAGTGAGTGTACATGTGTGAGTGTGAGCGCCCCCTCTCCTGGGCGGCTCACAGCCTCTGCACTGGCTCAGGGAGCGCCTGGGGAGCCGGGCGGTGGCTGGCGGGCGGGCTGGGGTGCACAGCTGCAGAGGCCGCGTTCTCCCCTCACGCTCCTCGGCAGGTCTCATCCTCTGAGCTCGCCTGTGCTGCTCTCTCAGGGTTCTGTCTTCTGGTCGGCGTTCTCCGTGTTTTATGTGTCAGGGTTGCCCGCCTCTACAGCGGACGTCAGAGAGGCCCCCCGGCTCCGAGAGGAGGCAGGGAGAGACGCCCAGGCCGGCCTGCGAGGAGCCGGCTGGGCGGCGGGAGGGGCAGGCTGGCAGGCGGGGCAGGCTGGCAGGCGGGGCCACGGTGGCAGAGGGAGAACAGAGGCGGCAGAGCTGAAGCAGAGGCCTGGGTGCGGGGCTAATGGGAGGCAGATGGAGGAAGCAGGCTGCCCTCGGTGACAGCAGGGAGGTCAGGGGCCGCGGAGCTGACGGACGGGAGGAGCCTGGGCGACAGGCCGGCGGCAGGGCGGCTCCGCAGCGCGGTGCCCGGGGGCCGTGACAGAGCAGAGGTCAGCTCCTCCCTCCGCGTGTCCAGAGCCCTCGGACCCGGAGCCGGAGGAGCTGCAGACCCCGTGGCTCCCAGAGGCCAGGTCTGGCTGGGTGGTGTCGGACAAGCACCCCCCCCCCCCTCCCGCGCCTCCGTTTCCTCGCTGGCGAAGTGACATGACGCCGTCATCTCTTCCTGGGACTGAGGGGTTGAGGGAGGTTAGGGCGCCAGCCGTTAGCACAGAGCGGGAGCACAGAGCGGGCACGCCGAGCGGGCTCTGTAACGCACACTCACTCTGCTGGGCACAGTCATTGCGGTTTGCTCGTTGGCAGTGCCCTCTAGTGGCTCCAAGGCGGACAGAGCCGAGGGCCTCCCTCTTCCAGGCGAGGAAACAGGCCCAGAGCCCACAGGGGTCCCGCCTGGCATCGTTCATGACAACGGATTTATTTATTTGTTTGTTTGTTTTAAATATATTTTATTGATTTTTTTACAGAGAGGGAGGGATAGGGATAGAGAGTTAGAAACATCGATGAGAGAGAATCATCGGTCAGCTGCCTCCTGCATACCCCCCACTGGGGATGTGCCTGCAACCAAGGTACATGCCCTGGACCGGAATCGAACCTGGGACCCTTCAGTCCGCAGGCCGGCGCTCTATCCACTGAGCCACACGGGTTAGGGCGACAACAGCTTTAATGGTGTCCCCCGGAGAGATGTGCTCAAGTTCTAGCCTCTGGGACCTGGGACCCGGACCTTCTTTGAAAAAAGGGGTTTTGTCAATGTAATTAAGTTAAGAAGAGGTGGTGCTGGGCTGGGGGGGGGGGGGGGCGAGAGGGGAGGGGAGCCTAAATCCGATGGCTGGCGTGGTTTAGGAAGGAGCAGATGTGGACAGAGACACAGACATACGCAGGAGGGCCCGGTGAAGAGAGAGGTCGGCAGAGGTGGGAAGGATGTAGCCACAAGCCCGGGAATGCGAGGGGCAGCCAGGAGCCTTCCCTGCAGCCCGGAGGGCGCGTGGTGCCCAGGCCCCCCCTCTCGCTCTTCAGGCCATGCAAGGGGAGGGAACCAGGCGTGTGGTGTGCTTGACAAGGGAGGGTTCCTAGTTTGGCATTTGATCCGCACAACCACCTCGGAAATGTGCCAGCAACAGCCGCGAACAGCTGTCCAGCCCGCTGCACGCGCCCCCGTCCGCAGAGCTGCACGGGGCATGCTCCGGACGGGTGTTCTTGTGAACTCTGTTCTACTCTTGGGGGAGGCTTATTCTGCCCATCTTAAATGTTTAACCATAAAACTCATCGGAGTCCCCCAGCTGGTTTGGCTCAATGGATAGAGCGTCAGTCTGCGGACTGAAAGGTCCAAGGTTCGATTCCAGCCAAGGGCACAGGCCTGGGTTGCGAGCTTGATCCCCAGTAGGGGGCGTGCAAGAGGCAGCCAATCATTGATGTTTCTCTCTCCCTCTCCCTTCCTCTCTAAAATCAATAAAATAAAATAAAAATAAAACACATCGGATTAAATATGACTCTAAACAGACTTTCCTCTCCTCGACAACTCCTGTCTCTGGCAGGTGCGGGGCGGGAGACTCCCAAGCCCCCCAGGTGGGGGGGAGGGCGGCGGAGGCCACGGCTGGGGCCCGCACCCCCCTTCACAGCAGAACCCCCCCTCCCCCCCTGTGGGCTCGAGGTTGGGGGTTCAAACACTTGGCCCAAAGGAGGACGCCTAACCCTCGCATAGCGGTCCCAGGGCCCAGGCTCGGGCGCCGGCTGGAGCCCCGGGAGGCGCTGCGCTCCTCCGGGCCGCAGGGGGCGCCGTCGCCATCCCTCACTTCCGGGGCGACGCGGACCGGAAGTCAGGCAGCACTTCCGGCGCGGAGCAGCGGAGCGGCGGCGGACGGGGCGCGGGGCTGGACGGCACCGGCGAGGCCAGGCCCGGCGCCGCGATGCCCTTCCTGCACGGCTTCCGCAGGATCATCTTCGAGTACCAGCCGCTGGTGGACGCCATCCTGGGCTCCCTGGGCGTGCAGGACCCCGAGCGCCAGGCGCCGCCGGAGGGGTGAGTGTGTGTGTGTGTGTGTGTGTGTGTGTGTGCCCGCCCGGCCGCACCCGATGGCGGAGGAGCAGGCGGCCTCGGGGGCCCATGCTCATCCGGGCGCCGTGAAGCTGTGCGCGGACCCGGCAGAGGGTGCGGCGGCCCCCAGTGCCAGCGGCCCCGCCTTCCTGTGCCCATCGCGGAGGAGGGCTGGCCCTGGGCGCAGCTGGCTCCGGAGGAGGGCGCGGGGGTGGGGGGCAGTGGAATGCCCCTGTGGGGAGCCGGCCCTGTTCGTGGGGTCCGGGGCCGCTCCCGGAGGCGGCCTGGCACCCCTGGGCACTGGCTCTCTAGGGTGTTGGGGTCCTGCCCAGGCGGTGAGGATGGAGCCTTGACCCCAGCAGTGGGAGGGGTGCAGAGGGTGAGACTGGGGGAGCGGGCAGCGGGGAGCTTGTGGGGAAAGCCCTGGTGGCCTGAGCGGCCAGGTGCTGGGGTCACAGAATGGGGGTGCGTGTGAAGTCTGGGTGCACCCTGCCAAGGGGAGACGGGGAGGCGATGGCCCCGAGGGAGAGCAGGAGGGAGGGCTGCCGCCTGCCCTGGGACAGTCAGGGTCTGAGGGAGGAGGCCAGGGTCTGAGGGAGGAGGCCGGGGTCTGAGGGAGGAGGCCGGGGTCTGAGGGAGGAGGCCGGGGTCTGAGGGAGGAGGCCGGGGTTTGAGGGAGGAGGCGGGGTCTGAGGGAGGAGGCCGGGGTGTGAGGGAGGAGGCCGGTGTGTGAGGGAGGAAGCCGGGGTCTGAGGGAGGAGGCCGGTGTGTGAGGGAGGAGGGTGGGGTCTGAGGGAGGAGGCGGGGTCTGAGGGAGGAGGCGGGGTCTGAGGGAGGAGGCCGGTGTGTGAGGGAGGAGGCCGGTGCGTGAGGGACGAGGCCGGGGTCTGAGGGAGGAGGCCGGGGTCTGAGGGAGGCGGCCGGGGTCCGAGGGAGGAGGCCGGTGCGTGAGGGAGGAGGCCGGGGTCTGAGGGAGGAGGCCGGGGTCTGAGGGAGGAGGCCGGGGCGTGAGGGAGGAGGCCGGGGTCTGAGGGAGGCGGCCGGGGCTGAGGGAGGAGGCCGGGTCTGAGGGAGGCGGCCGGGTCTGAGGGAGGCGGCCGGGGTCTGAGGAAGGAGGCCGGGGTCTGAGGGAGGAGGCGGGGTCTGAGGGAGGAGGCCGGTGCGTGAGGGAGGAGGCCGGGGTCTGAGGGGGGAGGCGGGGTCTGAGGGAGGAGGCGGGGTCTGAGGGTGTCTGAGGGAGGAGGCGGGGTCTGAGGGAGGAGGCGGGGTCTGAGGGTGTCTGGGAGGAGGCGGGGTCTGAGGGAGGAGGCGGGGTCTGAGGGAGGAGGCGGGGTCTGAGGGAGGAGGCGGGGTCTGAGGGAGGAGGCCGGGGTCTGAGGGAGGAGGCCGGTGCGTGAGGGAGGAGGCCGGGGTCTGAGGGAGGAGGCCGGGGTCTGAGGGAGGCGGCCGGGGTCTGAGGGAGGAGGCCGGTGCGTGAGGGAGGAGGCCAGGGTCTGAGGGAGGAGGCCGGGTCTGAGGGAGGAGGCGGGGTCTGAGGGAGGAGGCGGGGTCTGAGGGAGGAGGCGGGGTCTGAGGGAGGAGGCGGGGTCTGAGGAGGGAGGAGGCGGGGTCTGAGGGAGGAGGCGGGGTCTGCTCCTGGCCACGGGTCCCCTCCGCCCCAGCAGCCGGTGTGAGGCTCGGACCCAGGCAGGACCAGGTTCTCTGCGCCTGGGAAGGAGCTGAGACACAGCAGGGTCTGTCCCGGGGGGAAGGGCGGTGCCGGACGCCGGACCCCAATCCGCTGCCCCCCTCACTGCCCGCTCCTGCCAGGCCCGGGTACGTGCCCAGCGAGGAGAGCCGGCTGCTGGTGCTCACGGAGCTGCTGGAGAGGAAGGCCCACTCCCCGTTCTACCAGGAAGGCGTGAGCAACGCGCTGCTCAAGATGGCCGAGCTGGGGCTCACCCAGGCGGCCGACGTCCTCCTGCGCAACGGCGCCAACCTGCACTTCGAAGGTCAGGGCCCGGGGCGGCGCTGGGCGGCCGGCCGCTGGGCTCGCTGTTCTCTGAGCAGCTCCGTCGCTGGCTCGTTTTGAGGGTGACGGTGAGGAGCCCGCACTGGGCGGCCCCCCAGCCCGCGGGGTCCGGTGCCTGAGCGCCCGGGCCCGGAGCAGGCTCGGCGGGGCTCCCGTGGCTGACGGAGCAGCCTTCCCGCTCGGCTAACTCCCTGCACGCTCAGGTGACACGCCGCCGCTGCCAGCCCTGTGCCCGGCGCTGGGGAAGGTCATTTCCTGCCGCTTAGTCTGAGCCGTCTTGCATTTTCGTTCATCCCGAGGAAGAGGGGGACACTGGGCCTTGGTCACCGCAGCGCTGTGTGGGCTTCTAGCCTGTAGGGTGGGGGAGGCCTCGGGAGGCGACAGCCCTTTCCTTTCCTCTGGCTTTTCACCCAGGAGGGCAGGGTCAGCCTGAGACGCGTGGGGCCGGCTTGTGCCCACATGGAAGTCGTCTTTGCGCTCACATGGGACATGGCCAGGCATGGCTCCTCTCCCCTCGGGGGTGCCGGGGGCGGGAGGAGAGGGGGTGTTCTGAAATCAGGCGCCTGGAGACCCGGCATTGAGGACATGGCTGCCAGGCTTGAGGAGCGGGCACTGGGTATCCTCCCAGTAACCCTGTGGGCAGCCTGGCAGAGGAGGTGCCCTGTGGTGTGGTCCCCTTTAAGCAGAGGAAGCCGAAGCCCAAACAGATTAGTGGGTGCTGTACCCACCACAGCACCCCGGACCCGAAACTAGGTCCCACCGGAGCCTGAGGCACCCAGTGAGGACAGCTGTGTCTGACCCTCCGGTGACAGCAGCCGGGGCCGTCGGGGGCGGGGGTGCCGGGACTGGGATTCTGGAGAACGCGCTGACAGGCAGGACTGACGAGCTGGCTGTGCCCTCAGACCCGGTCACCTACTACACGGCCCTGCACATCGCGGTCCTGCGAAACCAGCCGGACATGGTGGAGCTGCTGGTGCGCCACGGGGCCGACATCAACCGCAGGGACCGGGTGAGCCGGGCGGCCTGCTCTGGGGGGGAGAGGGGGGGTCCGTAGGGGCGTGAGCAGCGCCCAGGCCAACCGGCTGTGCCTTCCTGGCTCAGATCCACGAGAGCAGCCCCCTGGACCTGGCCAGCGAGGAGCCGGAGCGCCTGCCCTGCCTGCAGCGCCTGCTGGACCTGGGGGCAGACGTCAACGCAGCTGACAAGCATGGTGGGTGCCTCCTCTGGGTGCCCAGGGTGACGGGGGCGGGCTGGTGCAGCCCCGGGAGTGCAGTCCGCCCACGCCAGCCCCCTGACGGCTGCCTGAGGGGGGCCCCGGGAGCCCGTGCTCAGCTTCTCGGGGAACCGTCCTCCTGTTGGGGGAGACCCAGCCAGGTCTCTGGTAGCGTCCCAGGGTCCAGAAAAATCCTCCTCTGCTCTGGTGTGTGGCTGGAAAGAATGACCAGGAGGCGGTCACCCTCAGCCCTCGCCGAGAGGCCAGTCCTTTTCCAAGGTCATTTTCTGATCTGAGCGTCTGTCTCCCTCCTCCTGGGGCTGCCCTCCCTCGGCTCATGGCCTCCTCCCCCACTCGCCCTCCTCAGGGAAGACTGCTCTGCTCCACGCACTGGCCAGCAGCGACGGCGTGCAGATCCACAACACCGAGAACATCCGGCTGCTGCTGGAGGGAGGTGAGGCTCTCCCCGCTGCCCCTGCCTCCCCTCCCCGGGTCTGCAGGGCTTGCGGCTCTCCCGCCCCATGAAGGGCTCCTCCATCTCCATCCTCCCTGCTGGCTCTCCAGGGGCAGACGTGAAGTCGACCACCAAAGACGGGGACACGGTGTTCACCTGCATCATCTTCCTGCTCGGGGAGACGGTGGGCGGGGACAAAGAGGAAGCCCGGATGATCAACCGCTTCTGCTTCCAAGTCACGCAGCTGCTGCTGGCCCACGGGGCCGACCCCAGCGAGTGCCCCGCCCACGAGTCGCTCACGCACGTCTGCCTCAAGAGCTTCCAAGTGCACTTCCCCCTCCTGCGCTTCCTGCTCGAGTCCGGGGCCGCCTACAACTGCTCCCTCCACGGAGCGTCCTGCTGGTCCGGCTTCCACGCCGTCTTCGACCGGCTCTGCTCACACCCGGGCTGCGCCGAGGACGAGAGCCACGGGGACCTCCTGCGCAAGGCCGAGACCGTCCTGGACCTCATGGTGACCAACTCCCAGAAGCTGCAGCTGCCGGAGAACTTTGCCATCCATCCCGTGGGCAGCCTGGCGGAGAAGATCCGGGCCCTCCACTCCTCCCTGAGGCAGCTGGAGAGCTGCCCCCCGCCCCTCAAGCACCTGTGTCGCGTCCACATCCGGCTCCACCTGCAGCCGTGGCCCGTGGATGTGAAGGTGCAAGCGCTGCCTCTGCCCGACAGGCTGAAGTGGTACCTCCGTAGCGAGCACTGCAGCCCCGTGGAGGCGGACATCTGACCGCTCCGGGCCGAAGGGACAGGTCTGGGCCCCTCAGCCAGCCCGCTGGTGGACTGAAGTCCCGGCGGGGCCGTGGGGAACCTTAGGTCCTGCCTGTCAGAAGGCGCAGGTGGTACAAGGAGAGCTGCCAGCTGCGGTCATTCCTGTGGGAAAGGCTGTGTCTTTCAGGGAGACGGCCCCCATCCCTTTGACAGTGACCCAGTTCTCAACCACAGGGAAAATGACAGGCTTTGGTTTGGGACACGCGTGGAGGGACTGGAGGGCATTCCTGAGCCAGGACTCCTGAGAGCTGCACGGACAGAGCTGGAGCAGAGGAGCTGGGTGGGCCTTTGCGGGTGCAGCCCAGGGAGGCTTTTGCTCCCCAAAGGGCTCTGGGCTGGGGAGGAAGCCGAGCTGCTTCCTGCTGGCGTCACAGCTCCAGCCTGGCCACCTGGGCACAGGGCTGTGCCAAACCCAGGTCGTGGGGACTGTGCCCTCTGCTAAAAAGCAATCATGCATGACTGGGGACGTTCCACAATGTCTCATCTGAGGGCGAAAGCTGAAGGCTGCTCGCCTAGTGCCGAGCCTTTAGAGCTGTCACGTTGGTCCTTGTGAATTGTGTAAATGCCTCAGAGATAAGCTAAGGCAACTAAATGGCATATTTATATTACCTAATTAAACTGACTTGGCCTTGAAAGGCCCTTGGTAACATTTCTGCCCCCCACTTCAGGATGAGGGGCCCCCCAGCGTCCTGGAAGAGGGGGTCAGTATGGCACCTGTCCCATAAAAAAAGCACTCCAGACCCGTGGGGCCTTGCAACACAAGGGCTCACCCTTTTATTTTTGACTGAAAACGTCCGCCGAAGAGGAACCGCAAGGCACGGCCAAGAGTGAGTCGTGACCTCTCCCGGCCGCGGGCCCCTGTGACCACGTCAGGGACACCGGGCCGTCACCAGTGAGGACTCGGGATGTGAACTGCCACCCGCTGCGGGGACAGCGGCCAGCCTCCCGGAGGTGTCCATGCAGTCAGGCTCTCTTGAGCAGGGAATCTCCACTTCGGATGGGTCACTGCGCCCCACAGACCTCACTGCCCGGTCCGCACGCGGCAGCGGAGCCAGGCGCCTGCCTCGCCGCCCATGGCTGGCTCCTCCGTGGGGCCTATGTCAGAAAGAGCCTGTACAGCAGGGGTGGCAGGCGGGTCCGTTTACTGGCCTCACTCTGCTCCTGGAGCCCCCAGCACGGGCCTGCCTCCGGGCCCTCTGCCCCGCGCCTGCTCATCTCAGGGCCAAGCTGTAGACGTGGTAGATCTCGTCGGGGAGGTTCTCCTGCCGCTCCTGGGCCAGGAGGCTGAGGCCGGCGCTGCGGACGATGCCGTGGACCACCTGCAGGTCCCGGCACACGCTGCTGTCCACGTCGTCCAGGATCACGCCCTCCTGGGCCATGTTGTCCTTGATGACGATGATGCCGTTGGGGCGCAGGCCGCGCTGGCAGCGCCGCAGGAACTCGGCCAGGTGGCGGTCGGTCAGATGGCCTGGAAGGCAGAGGCGGGAACGGCTGGTGTGGGCACGCTCCTCTGGCGGCTCCGCTCAGCCACTGCGTGTTCCACTATGTACTTTCTGGTGGACACACAGGCCACACTGCCCTCAGCAGTCCTGGGGGTCACTGCAGCCCATTGTGTGAAAGAGACGGGCTGCCATGACATGTGCAGCGGGGATTCCGCCCTGACCAGTGACCAGGCCACGCCGGCACCCCCCCCACATGCCCCCCACCCTCCTAGGCCTGGGCCAGGGCGGTGTGCCTACAGTAAAACTCCAGGCAGGCTCTGGGACCATAAAATACAGGGCCAGATGCAGTAGGTCCAGCAGGGCGGTGCTGCCTGCCTGGGAGGGTGGCTGACTGCTGGAACAGTGGCTGCTTGAGGCCAGCAGCCTGGGGAGCACCCTGGGTGTGCCGGTAGGCAGAGAGGGCCAATAGCAGGGACAGCAAAAGCTTCAACTTCTCTTATAAAACTACCCATATTCTAAGTCAGTTAATTGGACATTAAATTTTTTCAAGAAAAAGCCGCCTCCCCAATGGGTCACAGCAGGTGCTGAGTTAAACAGAACATGGAAAGAGATGTACTTCTAAGGCAGCGTGCCCGCGGTCCGGGGCACGGGGGCTGCCCGCCTGGTGCTGCAGGAGCGGCGGCTCCAGCCGTGGGGACTCGGTCTGGGACGCGGACGCTCACCTATCACCCACTGGATCCAGATGACGTCGTAGGCGCTGGGCTCCGGGCTGAAGTCCTGGAGGCCGCAGCAGAAGTAGTTCCTCACCCTCTTGCCCTCCTCGCCCAGGTAGGTCTTCGCTTTAGCCAGGAAGTCCTCCGTCACGTCCACCATGTCCACCGCCCGGAAGAGCGGCAGGAGCAGCCGCTTGGTGATCCTGCCGATGCCGGCGCCGCAGTCCAGGGCGCAGGAGGTCCCCGTCTGGTTGGGGCCTTCCTACAACAGGACGGGCGTCAGGGCGGCTGGGAAGCCAGAGGGACCGTCCTGCCCTGGGCCCTTCCTCCGGAGCCTGAGGGACTCCTGTAGCCTGGACGGGGTGAGCCTGAGTGTTCTGGGCCAGGTTCCTAACAGGAAAGCAGCTCCCTCTCTGAGGAGCCGACCTGAGCAGGTGCATTCATTTCACCTTAAAGTGACAGCACAGAGAACAGGAAGAATTCAGCCCGTGAAAGGCCAGAGAGGCCAATCGGTGACACAGGATTGGAACAAACTTGGGACGATGACAACCAGAGCGGCCTGCTAGCTAGCAAAGGGGGGCAGGAGAGGCAGTGGGGGTGACCAGGACAGCCAACACCCACAGCCCAAATGCCCACAAACATGGCCAGAGAGCCAAGGTTCGTGCCGGGGAAATGGGACAATTTACAGGGAGACACGACCCCCTGCATAACAGCCAGCGCCCATCGGGTCACCGTGAGGCACAGCCCACAGCCAGCCGCTGCCCTCCGGCCTGGGTGCAGACGGGCACACTGCAGGCCCTGAGCGGCAGTCAGGTGGCGCCAGCACACGCTCCGGAGAGCACCCCAGGCCTGCCTACCCTCAGGAACCTCTGCAGGAACTTCCGGGAGCTGCTGATGTCGATGCTGGAGATGTGGCCGTACCCCCCGAGCATGCCGTCCACCGTGGGCGGGATGTCCTTCCAGTACGTCTTGGCCTTAGAGTAGAACTGCTTCTCGTCTTCGATCACCTCGCTCGTCATGCTGTCTCCACCCGCGGCTGCTCGGACTCCACAGCGGCACTTCCTGCGCAAACATGGAGTGTGTCAGCCAGGTGGCGGGCCGGCTCCCGGCTTGGCTGGTCAGTCCCGCCTGACGCAGGGGGATGTCCAGTGCCCCCATCTGCTACCCCTCAGCGGGGGACAGTGCCCGCCGCCTCCTGCGTTCAGGTCATTTTACAAAGCGAACTTCACATGTTCTAGCTGCTGAGGCTTGTCAGCATCAAGCCCGACCCCCCGAGAGCCGGCAGCCCAAAGGAGACCACGAGGACTCTCCCCGAGCCGGAAAGTGCCCTGGACCTCAAGGCTGGAGGCGTCCTTTCTGAATGGCGGACGGCGGCAGCCGAGAGGCGACACCAATGTATCACTGGCTTCTCTGAATCCCACGTGCGATTCAGCAAAACACACACTTCCCGTTAAGCCAACAGAATGAATCAGAGATCAAACACGTGCCTGGCTCTACTCTCCCAGTCTGCCTGCAGGCCCTCCGGGTGTGAGCTTCCCAGGGCAGGGTCATTCTTTCAACACCACTAGCCCCGCACCTGCTACAGGTGGGTGTTTGCTAACTGGTTGTTGAATGAATCAAAGAATGAGCTTTGTGCGGCTGCAGCCCGTTTCCCCTTTTAAGAAAGCCCCCCATAAAAACCCAACCACTCAAAACCGGTAACACTGAAGGCCATTACCGACAATAGAATCACGTGCTTTACCAAGCGCCTTCTAACATGATTCCTTTAAATGTCAGGGTCCCCTGAATAATCCAATTTACAAGAATTCCACTTACAGGCACCAGCCAGGGGAGACCATCTGGGCCAGGAAATGGCAACTATAACTTCGCCATTTGTTCTAAGAGCTGATTCATTAGCAAACGAGACCCCCGGTGTGGGCGGGGGTCCCTAGGGGTCAGAGGGAGCGGGGTTGTCAATCAAAGAGCAGGAGGCCCTCCCTCACTCTGCCCAGATCACAGTGAGGAGCTTGGACACTACAGAGACAGGGCCGGGGCCAGCCTGGCTCCCGGGAGGGGCAGAGAAGCCCTCTGCTCACACTGAGCTTGTGCTCCTCGGCCCGAGCGTGCACCTGCCCAGCCTTCACGGTCCTCGGCCACCTTCTCCCCCACCAAGGTGTTGAGGGAACACCTGGCTAGCTGCCCAGCTCCTCTCCCGGGAGCCCCAGAAGAGAATGCTGGGAACTGTCACTGCAGCGCAGGCAGAGCCCTCAGCCCCAGTCTCTGGGAGAAGCAGGCCAGAGCCGTCTGTTACCTCCTCCTGCGCGCAGCCTGCGGGACGGGGCCGGCTCTCCTCGGATCTGTGTGTCTGCAGCTGGACATACGAGAATGGCAGGATGCTCTATGAAAAACAAAGGGAAGGAGGGAGGAAGAAAAGAAAAGCAGGGGGAAATGTTAACCAACAAAGGCTCCGGTGAGATCAAGTGATCCAGGCCTGCCTGCCGGCTCTGCTGTTCGGGCTGTGGAAGCTCAGACACTTCACCTGGCACCGCAATTCATCTATCAAACAGGAGCAGCAGCACGGACTGCAAAAGCGTCAAGTGGCCCTGGCAAGCGTGGCACAGTGGTCAGAGCTGTCCCGTACACTACAAGGTGGCGGGGACTCTCCCTGAGCCAGAGGGTGCTGTGGGATCTCAGGCTGGGGGAACCCTTTCTGAATGGTGGGCAGGGCAGCAGCCAGGGGTTCGATTCCCGGTCAGGGCACGTAATTGGGTTGTGGGTTCGTTTGCTGCCCAGGGCACACACAGGGAGGCAGCTGAATGATGCGCCTCTCTCTCTCTCTCTCTCTCTCTCTCTCTCTCTCTCTCTCTCTCAAATCAATACATTTTTTAAAAATGGATAAAGTGCCGAAACTGGTTTGGCTCAGTGGATAGTGCTGGCCTGCAAACTGAAGGGTCACAGGTTCGATTCCAGTCAAGGGCATGTACCTTGGTTGCGGGCACATCCCCAGTAGGAGGTGTGCAGGAAGCAGCTGATTGATGGCTCTCTCTCATCGATGTTTCTAACTCTCTGTCCCCCTCTCTTCCTCTCTGTAAAAAATCAATAAACTATATATTTTTAAAAATGGATAAAGTGACCCATACAGTGCCAGGCACATGCTATCTCCAGGTTCCAAATCTCTGTCAAATGAGATTCCCGTCAGTTATCTCTGCCCATCGTGCCGATCAGAGAAAAATGCACTGAAGTGCCCGTACACTAGTGCTGGACACACCTGGGTTATTACTGTTGGGCAGCCTCAGCTGAGACTGGGGGGAGAGGGGAGGAAGCACAGAAAGACTGCAGAGACACTGGAGATGCTATCTGAGACTGTGGCTTCTGGCCTCCGTTCTAAAGCATTCCGCATGTACCCCTAATTCTGCCACAGCCCCAGTGCAGCCAGAAAACTGTCCCCCTGAAGGGGTGATGTGCCTTAAACACACTGCAAACCCGGAACAGAGGCCTATCCTCCCAGGGCCTCATCCCATCGCCCTGGGCAGCGATCCTACGTCCAGGCCTCCCGCACCCTGGCCCAGGGCCTCCGACACCCCTGACTACACAGCCGATTCTCTGGTCCCAGGGACCCCAGTTTACAGGCAGCAAAGCCTGGCCTCTGACACGACGGCCTCATGCCTGTTCCATGGGAGTTGCTGTCACAGTTCTCCTTGGACGCAGCCCCAGAGCTGGCCTTTCCTCGAACACGCTGACCTTGGCTCCAAGGTCTCTGGGCAGCGAACCTGTCAGGCCAGAACCTGTGCCCGCTCCGAACTGAGCTCTGCGCTGAGGCCTGGCACCCACCTCCTCACCCCGGTTCCGCGCGGGGGGGACTGAGACTCAGAGCAGGAAGGGGGCTTGCTGCGGCCCGGGGACCGGCGTGGGGACCCCGGCTCTGGGGACCCCGGCCTTCCGCCCTTACCCCCGCCCGTGGCCCGGTCCGGCCCAGACCTCCCCGGAGCGCGCACGTGGGACCGGGGCTGTCGCACGCGGGTCATGTGACGAGCCGGGACCTTGGGGCGCCAGGCCGTTGGGGGCCGGGGCCTCCCCTCTCCCGGTGGCCGCCGCCCCCGCTCCGCCTCGTGCTACTCACCCCGGGACGGCTCCCGGGACCGAGAGAAGAGGGAGGGGAAGGCGAGGGCGGCGGCGGCAGCGCAGACCCGGAGGCACAACCGCCCGATCACATCCAGCCCGACCGACACCGCGGCGCGCGCTGCCTTTGTCCGCCCGCGTCACTTCCGGGGCCGGGACGGGGGCGGGGCCGGGATGGCTCCGCCCCGCCACCGGCTGGTCCGCCCCATCTACCGGCTGGCTCCGCCCCGCCCCGCCCCGGCTAGCCCCGCCCCGCCCCGCCCCGCTCCGATGGCTCCGCCCCATCTACCAGCTGGCTCCGCCCCGCCACGGCTAGCCCCGCCCCGCCCCGCTCCGATGGCTCCGCCCCATCTACCGGCTGGCTCCGCCTCGCCTCCGGATCGCCCCGCCCCTCCCCGGCTAGCCCCGGCCCTCCACCGGCTGGCCCCGCCCCGCCACCGGCTAGCCCCGCCCCGCGGGCGCCGACCTCACCGACTAGCGCAGAGCCCGCCCTCTCCCGCCCACGGGTCCGTTTGGAGGGAGTAAGGCTGGACTGGGAAAACTAGCGTCCTGTGGCTTTTCCGCTGGGTCACAGAGCGGCCATAAAAGCCTTATCCTCAAACCCCACCCAGAACAATTCGCTTCTTAAAATAATATACAGCCCTGCCGGTGTTGCTCAGTGGATAGAGCACTGGCCTGCGGACTGAAGGGTCCCAGGTTCCAATCCGGTCTAGGGCATGTACCTTGGTTGCAGGCACATCCCCAAGAGGGGGTGTGCAGGAGGCAGCTGACGGATTGTTTCTGTCATCGATGTTTCTAACTCTCCCTCTCCCTTCCTCTCTGTAAATAATCAACATATATAAAATAATATACAGATCCAAAAAGGAAAGAAGAAAAAAAGGAAACACCCTTGGCAGTGCCACGGGGCAGCCACCCCAAATAAGCAGAATAAGCCCAGGAAGCTTCCATTCCAAAGAGATTGCCGCCCCCACGTTCCCCCCGGAAAACAAATGCTTCCAGCGCTCTGGGCTTCGGTCTGTGGGATAGTGCACGTCTAGCCTTGGGTTTGGCGCCTGTTACAGTGGCAGTATGTTACAGTGGCAGTACTCTTCCTGAGTCCATTTCCCAACCTGCCCTCCTGGCCTTCAGCTGCCAGTCCCTTCCTCGGGGGGCTGCGTACCTCGAGGTGTTGCTTTACGTGCGTTTACTGTAATGAAGTGAAAACGATATGGGGGTGCTGGAAACACCACCGGTAGAACCCCCACATCTGTTTATGTCCGTATTACTTGGCATCCTCTCTAGCGTACCCCAGGTCAGACGTGGGTCCCCTCCCACGCTCCATTTTCCCGGGGAACGCCCATCTTATTGGGGGGCAGCTCTGAGGTTAGCTGTTTTAGGGGTGCCTAGAGATCCTCCCTTTCCTTCCTGTCAGCAGGAGAGGAAGTCCTTACCCTACACCCGGACTCCAGGTCCGGCCAGCCCCCTGACCTCAAAGCCTCCTGCGTTTCTGAATTCCCAAACCTGGAATCGGTGTTGACAGCACGCAAGGTTGGAGGGCCTTGGACTTCATCCAGTCAGCCTGATGCTCCTCACCCACTTTTAAAAATCTCACTTTAAAATAAGTGAAAATGCATACTGCCTTCCCTCCTCAGTATTCTGCCTTCCAAGGAGGCGTGCCCTCCCGCCCGGGCTGGGGAGTGTTTGCAGAGACAGAATACACGGTCGGCGATGCTTCCCCCAGGCAGACGCCTGGTAATTTATTACAAAGTTGTTGTTTTTTCATGTTCAAATTGTAAGATAACGCCAAGCCAGTGAAATCACTGGTCCAGATTCCCCTTGTCCCTCACTCCAATTTCCCAAACCGAGCGTTTACCCTCTCGTCCACCTTCCCAGGGAGTCTGACGGAGGACCCTCGCCTGGCACCGCGCAGCGCAGAGGCCGGGCATGGGCTCCCGCTGAGTCTCCCGGCGCCCAGGCCGCTGCCCTGGTGCTGCCAGCCTCCCCCGGAGGTTCCGCTGAGCCACAGGCCCCAACCGGACCCCCTGGGCCTCCCGGACCTGGAGGGGGCAGCTGAGCGCTGGCCCTCCGTCCCTGGGGGGCCTGGCTGCCCTGGTCAGGAGTCCCCCCCCTGTGACCTCAGCCCTGGCGGCCTGAGCACCGAGCCCCGCCCTCCGCCCCGGCCTCGCTGCCGCCGCTCCGCACGGGCGGGTGAGGCGGGTCACAATGGCCCGGGAGAGGCCCTGCGGGCCGCGGGGAGAGGCCGCGGAGAGGCCAGCGGGGAAGATGGGCTGTCGCAGCCACCAGCCACCTGTAGGGGGCGCTACGCTCCCTGGGGCCTTCTCTGGCCCCTGACAGCACCGGGGCGGGCAGTGCGGTAAGGAGGAGGCGGACTGGGAGGACCCGGGCCATCCATCCGCAGGGGGCGGGTCTGGTCCCCCCTTCGGGGGAGAGGGTCCCACCACCAACCTACTCAACCAGAACGGGGGCACCTGTATTTTCAACCAGCTCCCCAGCCAGCCGAGACAGGCTGGTTCCAGGTTCCCTAATTCCCAGCAGAAGATGCTCCTTCCCCAGAGAAGGGCCACAGCTGAGCCCCATCTCACAGCCGTCCCCCCCCCCCATCCCACAGCCGTCCCCCCCCATCCCACAGCCGTCCCCCCCCACAGCCGTCCCCCATCCCACAGCCGTCCCCCATCCCACAGCCGTCCCCCCCCATCCCACAGCCGTCCCCCATCCCACAGCCGTCCCCCCATCTCACAGCCGTCCCCCCCCCATCCCACAGCCGTCCCCCATCCCACAGCCGTCCCCCCCATCCCACAGCCGTCCCCCCCCACAGCCGTCCCCCATCCCACAGCCGTCCCCCATCCCACAGCCGTCCCCCCTCCCACAGCCGTCCCCCCATCCCACAGCCGTCCCCCCCCACAGCCATCCCCCCGCAGCCGTCCCCCATCCCACAGCCGTCCCCCCCCATCCCACAGCCGTCCCCCCCCCACAGCCGTCCCCCATCCCACAGCCGTCCCCCATCCCACAGCCGTCCCCCATCCCACAGCCGTCCCCCCATCCCACAGCCGTCCCCCATCCCACAGCCGTCCCCCCCATCCCACAGCCGTCCCCCCATCCCACAGCCGTCCCCCCATCCCACAGCCGTCCCCCCCCACAGCCGTCCCCCCCATCCCACAGCTGAGGCCACTGGGCGAGCATCTGGCGCTCCGGGTTACACCTTCCCGGGCTGAGACCAAAGCCTAAAGAAAACCCTCCTCATTGTCGTCATCACAAGGAGCGCGCCCTGAGCGCCCGCTCTGAGCCCCGCGGACGTCACAGCGCCCGGAGCCGCCGTCACCGCCGTCACCGCCGGTGGGTGAGGACACAGAGCGGCGGCAGGGAGCGCCCAGTGCCCGGCGCCGCGGTGCTCGCCCGGACAGCCGGGTGCCCTGGCCCGGGCCGGCCTCTGCCCCGCTCCCTGCCCCGGGCGCCCCCCAGCGCCCGGCGTGAGGATGCCCTGAGCTGAGCGCAGGGCCGCCATGCCCCGCTGGCACCCCGACGCCCGCGCCCAGCAGGGGGCGCCCCAGAGGCCCCCGGGCGAGCGCGCCCGGCGCCGCGCGGCCCCGCTGCTGCCCGGCTGGCCCCCGTGCGAGGCGCCGGCGGCGGCCGCGGGGCGGCCCGGGGGCTGGCGGGCGCCGGGCGGCTCCGAGTGGTGGCCGGCCTCCGGCGGCGAGGCGCCCCCCCGCCGGCCCCCGCCGCGCCTGCCGCCCCTGCCCGCCGCGGCCCCGCGGCCGGCGCGCCGCTCGGGGCTCAGGCCGCTGCTGCTGCCGCCGCGCTTCCCGGACGGGGCGCCCTGGACGCGGGTGCACCCTGAGCCGGGGAGCGCGGGGCGGGCGGGAGGGGCCTGGCCAGGGACCCCGGGGACCCCAGGGACTCCTTGGGCGCCCTGCTGGGCCAGCTCCTCCCCAGCAAGTTCCGGACGTTCCTGCGCCAGCTCGGGGCCCACTGGGTGGAGAAGCTGGAGGCACAGAGCGAGGCCCGCGGGGTCCCAGGTGCTGGGCCTGGGGCTGAGTGGTTTCGGTGGGGCAGGCCCACCGCCTCGCCAAGAACTGGTCGTGTTAGTTGGCTTCCAGGCTGAGTTCTGGCAACCACCCCTGGAGAGGGGCCCCTCTTTGGGGAAGGAGGAGACTGAGGCCCAGGCCATAGAACTGAGGAGACCTCGGAAAGGGCTGTCCCCAAGCAGAGCTCCTCACTGTGTCCACCCCTGCCCCCAGCAGCCCCAGAACCCCGTCAGCAGAGGCCTGGGTCAGAGCACTGGTTGGGGAAAGCTCCTTCGTGTCCGTCCTTCCTCCCCCACCTGCGGTGAGTGCGGGTGACCCCCGGGTGGAGACAGGGCTGCCACGGATGCTCCGAGGGTGGGGGACCCTGACCACTTATGCCAGGGGTTGCCTGTTTGTCTTCAAGGTGCCAGTCATCAAACTTCGAGAAAAGTCTCAAGAAGGTTTCAAGCTGTCAGATACCTACCCCGGGGCCGCTAAGGAGAAACCACACGCTGGGGCCGCTAAAGAGAGACCCCCCACAATTCACCGAGGTCAAAAAGGCCCACAAGTGAGTGTGGGAGGATGAGGGAGGGCAGGAAGGGAATCCCTCTGTTCTTTCCTCTGCCCTACGCCCATGAATCCACCTATCTGTCCACCCATCCATGTGTCCGTCCACCAATCGGGTCTCCCACCAAAGCATTCCTGTTCCATCTGAGTCCGCCCACCCATCCATCCACCACCCGTCGACTCATTCATCATTACACAGGTCTATCCACGAATCCAGTTTTCTCCCAACACACTCAAGACTCATCCATCAACATCTAGGAATCCATCTACCCATTAATCTGGTCTCCTACCAACACATTCATAATTCATCCAGGAATCCATTCATACATTCATTCTCCCATTCGCCCATCCATCCTTGTATACATCTTATCTATGAGCCAGATCTTCTACAACCCAGTCATTCATCCACCGGTCCATCCATCCACCCTTCTGGTCAGTCATTCATCTATTCACAAATCCCCACAGTTCTATTCACAAATCCGATTCTTATATTAATTATCTAGAAATCCTTCTATCCACTTATAAATCTGGGATACTATCCATCTCCAATCTAGTCATGGAGCTATCTACAAGTCTACATACCCATCTACATAGTTATTCATCCGCCCATTCATACATCTACCCCTCCTCCTAAGATCTAGTTCTTCCATTCAGATGTTTTAATTCACCCATCAATCTATCCATCCACCTGCCCACTCACCAGTCTTCCTTCCTTTTGCCCAGCCCACTATTCATTCATCCATTTCTTCTTCTACCATTTATGAGGTTTTATTATATGTCGAGTATTGGGGGAAATTAAATAAGGGATGGACCAAGAGGAAGGCCGGGGCATTAGTGCTCCTGGGACTTAGAAACGGTAGCTCGAACGGAGGGGGAAAGGATGCAGAAACATTCCTCCAGCGGAAACAGGCTTACACGGGGGTGAAGGGTGCCCATGAGCTTAAAGACCGGGGAGAGTGAATACATGACTTACACACCATCCTTCTAACCCGGGCCCATGGCAGACAGAACTAATGGATCACAGCACTTCTCCCCGCAGAGCCTCAGAGCCCCTCCTGACACCGCACTCCTCGCAGACACCCCTGATGGATCAGAGTAGGTGCCGGAAATGAAACACATTGGCCAACCAGGAGCTTTAAGTCCCTCAGGCCAGGCAGACACCCCACTTCTGAGAAGACATGATAAATAAGCGTGTGGCACGCATGATCTCCAACGTGAGAGCAGCAGGGACAGACATATTCGGTCTCACATTCAGGAGCTAATTAATCCCAAAAACCTTGCAGTGGGTGGGGTTCTGGAGGGCCCTGAGTGGGGGAATGCCAGGGGCATTAGAACAGGAGAGGAGCCGAAACCGGTGTGGTTCAGTGGATAGAGCGTCGGCCTGCAGACTAAGGGGTCCCAGGTTCAATTCCGGTCAAGGGCATGTATCGTGGTTGCGGGCACGCCCCCAGTGGGAGGTGTGCAGGAGGCAGCTGATCGATGTTTCTCTCTCATCGACGTTTCTAACTCTCTATCCCTCTCCCTTCCTCTCTGTAAAAATCAATAACAATAATAATAATCATTATAATAAAAGAACAGGAGAGGAAAGAAGCAGCTGAGGGTTCAGACTGGGGTAGAGCTGGCCGTGACTCGGCCTGGCGCTCGGCTAGCACACAGTGATAGAACAGACCTATGAGCCAGGAGGTCGAGGTTCGATTCCTGGGGGGCCTGTGGGAGCAGCCAATCAGTGATTCTCCCTTATCATTGATGTCTCTATCTTTCTCTCCCTCTCCTTCCCCTCTGAAATCAATACAAAAAATTTAAAAAACAACAACACGAACTTCAAGAGTTACCACTGAAACCCAGCACTGCCTGACTCCCAAGTTCATATCCGTATTCTCTGTGCTGAAATGCCCCATGTAAGAGGACTCAAATCTTGCTGCCAGCCCTTCCTGGCTGTGTGACCTTGGGCGATTGCAGGGCACCTCTGTGCCTTGGTTTTCTCACCTGTAAAATGGGAATAGTCCTTGTGTGTCATGGAGTTATGTGGGCTGGGCCGGGGCCACACGCCACATGCTTGGCCCAGAGCCTGCAGGCAGGAGGTGCTCAGAGAGGCCGCTGCTGTGACCCGCCACTGGGGGTGTGTGGTTGGGATGGAGTGGGGCTCAGGCCTCAGGCCCCCCCCCCTGCTCTTGCCTCCCTCCGCAGTCCCTGCGGTCTGCAGGCCCCTAAGCTCAAGGCCACGCTCAGCCACAGCTCCTCGGAAGCCTCCGGGCCCTACCGGCACAGGTGTAGCCCCTTCCGAGTGCGATTCGCTGACGAGACGCTGCAGGACACGGCGTTTCGCTACTGGGAGCGAAGATGTGCACGTAAGCAGCCGGGACAGGGAGCCCCCGGGCTCCAGAGAGTTCCAGCCTGGCCCTGGGGGAGCAGAGGCTGTGGCTGGGGAACAGGGGCTGTGGTTTGGGGGAGCAGAGGCTGTGGTTTGGGGGAGCAGAGGCTGTGGTTTGGGGGAGCGAGGCTGTGGCTGGGGGAGCAGGGGCTGTGGTTTGGGGGAGTAGAGGCTGTGGCTGGGGAACAGGGGCTGTGGCCCTGGGTCTGGGAGGGAGGCACCAGCTGCTAAGGTCCGGAGGCCGTCGCCCTACGGAGGAGGTGCCCGCTGGCGGAGGCGGTCAGGTGACCTCAGGGACCAGGTGTGAGGTCCTGGAGAAGTGTCCTAGGCAGGGGCTGCGGGCAGAGCCATCGTGCTGGAGCAGGAGACACTAGCAGCCCAGGCCTCACACCCCGAGGGACTGCTGCTGCCGAAGGTCTCACACGCCGCACCTGCCCCCTCGGACAGCACCCACGGCCTCCCGTCCCCGCGTCTGGCCCCCACAAGGCCCACGACAGCTGAGGTGGTGGAAGGCACCGGACCCTCTCCTCCCGTTACTCGTGAAAGCAGACCTGGAGGAGGAGCTGCCAGCCGCCCAGGAGATTCTGCCGGGAAGACTGGCGCCGCCTGGCCCGGCCCAGAAGCGGGAGCCAGCCGGCCAGGCCCGGCAGAGTTTGCTCAGCTCCTCAGGGGTGAACGTGGCGGTCCCTTGGTGAGGCCTGGTTTCCGGTGTTTTCCGGTGTCGGGAGGCGGAGAGAACCAGTCCTTGCTGGTAGACCCTTCACCAAAGCCCCCTTTCCAGCCGCCCTGCCCCTTCTCTTCTGAGGGTCTCTGTGTGTGACCACCTCCTGTGTGCAGGGTCAGGACGCAGTGCCCCAAGCCTCGCTGCAGGGAAAGCCTAAAACTCGGGACCTTCGCCAGTTCAGGCGGGACTCTCCCCGGCTCCCCGAGGGCCACGGGAGCTGCAGAGAGAAGCTGTGATTTTGCCCGACCTCAGGTTGTTTGATGGGGAAGCCACGACCCCAAAACAGATGACACAGCAGCCAGGAAGAGGGACGGGGGGGGGGCAGCCTGTGGGAATCCAGGGAAAGGAGGCGCCTGGAGAAACGGTTCCATGCAAATGGCCGTTGCCTGGCATGGAGAGCTTCCTGGCCAGCCACCAGCCACTGCCACTGCCACCAGCCACTGCCACCAGCCACCAGACACTGCCACCAGCCACTGCCACCAGACACCAGCCACCAGCCACTGCCACCAGCCACCAGCCACTGCCACCGGCCACTGCCACCAGACACCAGACACTGCCACTGCCACCAGCCACCAGCCACTGCCACCAGCCACTGCCACCAGCCACCAGCCACTGCCACTGCCACCAGCCACTGCCACCAGCCACTGCCACCAGACACCAGACACCAGCCACTGCCACCAGCCACTGCCACCAGACACTGCCACCAGACACCAGCCACCAGCCACCAGCCACTGCCACCAGCCACTGCCACCAGCCACTGCCACCAGACACCAGCCACTGCCACCAGACACCAGCCACCAGCCACTGCCACCAGCCACTGCCACCAGACACCAGACACCAGCCACCAGCCACTGCCACCAGCCACCCCATCAGCCACGGCCACGCCACGGGAGCTGTGGCCACACCCAGGGCGCTGGAGTGGAGCTCCGCGCTGCCTCCTGCTCCTTCCATCCTCGGGCCCCTGACCAATGGGAAGGGCGGCTTCTGGCGGGAAGGACTGAGGGGGAGTGCCGCCCTCTCTCGGGTCCACGGCCGGGTGACTGGCCTTCCTGCCGTAGGGAGGGGGGCTGTTTGCGGCTGGAGCAGGAGTGGGTGTGGGGGCACCGACGGAATAAAGGCAGAAACAGGCACACGAGGTGGTTTTAAAACCCGAGCCAGTGTCCTCTGGAGGCAGCCAGAGAGGGAGCCTTGGGTTTCCATGGAGACGGGCTCTGCCTGCCTGCCTGTCGGAGCAGGGAGAGCTGGGGGAGGCGCAGGGGGAGTGCCCCTCGGGCAGAGCTCTCACGGTGCCCTCTCTCCTCCAGTCCAGCAGAGCCTCACAGGCAACTGGCCGCCCAGGCCAGCCCCCACGTCGGTGAACTTGGCGCCCGTGTTTGGGAGCATCAGGAGGTGGCTGGAGAGTTTGCCCAAGAACCTGGACTCCAGGCCCCGGGAGGAGGCCACGGCCGGCCGGGACCGCCCTGGCCTGTGAGGCTCCGGGGACGGGCGGGGGTTCGAGTGCGCCGCCAGGGTGTCCCTCCTCACCCTGAAGACCGCCCTGGCACAGCGGGCAGGCCCGGGGCCTGGGCCCTGAGGGCTCCGCCCGCCATGGGGGCCCGTTGGGCTCACAGGCCGCTGTGCCCCGCAGGCCCGTCCTGGGGCGGCAGAGCCTCCTCTCTGAGGACACCCCCTCGAGCAGCACCCCTTGGTGGCAAAGAGACCGCAACGCCTTCCTGGGCACCCACAGCATCCTCAGCCAGGCGGGCAGGGCGCCCGGCTCCTGGAGCCAGCAGCTGGTGAGTGCCTGCGGCGGCCGCCCCGAGCCCCCTGGCTGGCGGGGGGCCGGGGGAGCCGGGGACAGTGTCCCTACACGTGGCCAGGGGGGCTCTCGGTGGGCAGCCTGGTTCAGATCCCAGCTCCACACGCTCCCTCGTCTGCACCACGGGGTGCGTGTCTGCCCCTGGGTCCCCGGAGCCCTATCTGGGCCCAGAGCCCCAGCCTGCATCCCGCGCACCCAGCGGGCCCACCCTCTCCTCCAGGAGGCCTTCCTGCCCCGCCTGGACCTGAAGCCCAGCCGTCCGAAGGGGTACCAGCTCCTCCTGCCCTCCTCTCTGCAGTAGCAGGCTCGGCGACCATGGCCCCGGCCCCCGGCCCAGCCGTGGCCATGGGCCTGGGGGCGGGCAGGCCTGCCTCGCCCTGCCAATAAACGTACATCCCGGGGGCTGGGACCTGCCAGGTCTCACCCTGCAAGCCTCTCCCATGCCTGGTTGCTGGGCTAAGGGTTCTTGGACCGGGGTCGCAAGGGGTCTTGAGGGGTCACGGCTAAGCTGAGGCTGATGGGTGGGGGGCCAGGCAGCCCCAAGGGCCGGGGTTTGGAAGGTGGGAGACCCTGCCACACACCTCACACCCGGGACCAAGCCCCTTCTGCCTGGATCAGCCCACGCCTGGAGCAGACACCTGTCCTGACCTCTGCCCCCAGCGGCCTCCGCTGACGGCTGCTGGCTGACCTCCCCTCTGGCTCCGGGGAGAGAGCTCTGTGCAGGCGCACAGACGTGTCCTCCTGGTCCCTGGTCCCTGGCCCCTGGGCACAGCACTGGGTGGGCGGGAGGGGAGGCCAGCGGTCCAGCCAGGTCAGGGGGTGCTGAGAGATTAGGCCGCAGGTACTGCCTGGCCTTGATCTGCCCGCTGCAATGACCGGCAATGCCCCCTCCCACCTCCCTGCCAGGTGCGGCCCTGCCACACTGTGTTCCACCCCCTCCCTCCAGCCCCCCCCAACCTCCCTCCTCGCCCCCCTCCACAACCTGTAGCCTGGGTTTGGCCCCAGCCCCTGGCCAGGCCCAGGATCCGGGTCTTTATCGCCACCTGCTGGCCAGTAAGTAAACTGCCGGGGACCGCGCACCCAGGCCCCCTGCTGAGCTGGACACGCGGCGGGGAGCTTGGGGCCAGCAGAGCTGGTGGGCGGGGAGCCCTGGCTCCCGGAGAGAGGCCACAGGAGGGAGCCCCGTGTGGGGCTGGGCTGGGGGCAGTGCTCCCCCCCGCGGGGTGGGAAGGTGGGGCTGGAGTGGGGTTCCCCCTGCTGGGTGACCTCCCCCCTCCACACCATTTCTGGACTTTCACCCCGTCCCACACAGTGTTTCTATTTCCTGGGGAGCCTGCGGGGCTCAGAGGAGGCCTGTCCCACCGCATCTCTCCCCGGGGACCTTGCTTGCCCCTCTTGCCCGCCCCAGCCTCAGTTTCCCCCCGCGCGGCCGTCGGCTGCAGCGCCGCGCGCGCCCACGCGGGGGCAGTGTTGGCCTGGCTTTGGCGCCGCCCGCCCTGCGGCCGGGACTTCGGGGCTGGAGGGTCGGAAACTTTCCCCTCCGCCGGCTCCGCGCCGCCCGCGCCGCCTCCCACCCGGGGCCGCGGGGCCCGCCACCTGCCCAGCGGGGAGGGCGGCCGCCGGCCACAACCGCGCCTTCTCCCTTCGGCTGATGAGCCTGGCGCTGTCAGCGGAGCTCTGGACCCTGAGTCCGGGCGGGGGTGGGGGAGGGGGTGGGGTGGGGGAGGGGGTAGAGGTGGGGGGTGGGGTAGGAGGAGGGGTGGGGGCTGTGAAATCCCCCCCCGCGCCTGGGCCCCCAAAGCCGCGCACTTGCCCGCGGGCGGCAGGGCGGAGGGGGGAGCGAGGGCAGGGACCTGCCAAAGGGGGGCGCTCCGTCTCCCCAACTAGGATGCGGGTCCGAACCCCGGGGAGCCGAGCGAGGACCCTCTTCCCCTCCTGCCCGGCTCCCTGCCAGCCCCAGCCCTTCCCTCTCCCTCCACGCCGCCCTCCACCTCCCTCCTCCCTCCTCCCTCCTCCCTCCTCCCTCTCTTCTCGGGACCAACGCGGATTCCGTGTCAAGAGGACCTTGAGCATCAGCTCCAAGTCTCACATCCCACTCAGCACAGACACACACAGGGCACCTCGCCCACACGCACTCACACACAGAGCAAACACACATACACACACACACAGGGCACCACACACACACACACACATAGACACACAGAGCAAACACACACACACACAGGGCGCCACACACACACACAGCAAACACAGCAAACGCACATACACACAGCAAACACACACACACACACACAGCAAACGCACACACAGCAAACACACACATACACACACAGCAAACACACACACAGCAAACACACACATACACACACAGCAAACACACACACACAGCAAACACACACACAGCAAACACACACAGCAAACACACACAGCAAACACACACACAGACACACAGGACACTGCACACACAGCAAACACACACACACACACTCACACACAGCAAACACACACAAACACACACTCACATAGCAAGCACACACTCATACAGACACACACACACACTCAGAGGCATCACACTAGAAACACAGCAGATGCACAGTTAGGGGCTCCCAGGGACCGCCCCACATTGCAGCTCCCCCTGACGTCTGGGAGGCCACAGACACCCCCCATCCCCCTGGCCCATCGCCCCAGCATCCCTGCCTCTGGTGCTGCCCTCAGTGCCCCCTGTGCCCTCAGTGACAGAGGGTCTGGGGCTCCTGCCAAAGCCATCACATCCCTCCACAGTCCCAACCCGTGCTGCCGCCTCAGGCAGCCCTCCCAGCCTCCGCCTTCCCCTGAGCAGGCTGGAGGGGGTGGCCCTGGTGCTGTCACTGTGCCCGCCGGGCCCGTCAGCCCGTTTGGGCAGAGTCTGAGCGGGAAGCAGGCATGGGGCCCAGGAGGCCGGGCTTGGGACCTGCTGAATGGTGGCATGGACCCCATCGCACCGGTCCTTTCATTCATTCACAGAACGTGTCTCTGCCGGGCCCTGCGCACAGGACGCCTGCCCGCCTGCCTCAGGAGCCCGGTCTGGGGAGGCGGGGGGCTTCACAGGTGTGTGCTCTGCCTAGAAGGCCCCTCTGCTGTGACACCGTGAAACTCACGATTGGTTTGGGACCAGGGCCTGTGATTTCATTTCCCCTGGGCATCGCAAACACGTCCCTGGTCCTGGGCACACGGTAAACGTGGCACACGGAGGCTGGCAGCGGGCCCAGGAGGCTTCTCGGAGGCAGTGTCGGCCTTTGTCCTGACCCCAGGGCCGAGGCGTGGGGTCCCGGGCCCTCAGGGCCATTCCTGGGAGCTGGGTCCGTGTTGGCGGGAGGGCAGGACCACAAAGCTCCGACGGGACTTCCAGCCCCTGGCGGGCGGCTGGCTGGTGCGGGCAGCGGTGTGGGAGGCACAGCCTGGAATCCGAGGAAGGACCCCCCACTGCCCCTGCACCTCCACCGGCCCAGCCCCTCCCACTAGGCACCCTGTTTCTGGCACCTTCCAGAGATATGCTGCACACGTATGAGGAAGTATGTACACGCGTGCGTTTTACACTGTAATGTCGGTTTTGCAGGCGTTCTGTATCGCACTCACTCCTCCACACTCAGTATCCTCGCTTCAAAATCTAACGGGGAGGCCACGGAGGGCTTTTCCAAGGTCTCTCCGGGCGCTGGCCACACACTGAGGCCCCACAGCCTCTCCTGCCCCACCTCAGGCCTGCTGCGGAGGGAGCTAAGGCGCTGTGATGGCCCCAGTTCCACACGAGGCTCAGAGAGGTGCAGCCACCATCCTGGAGTCACACAGCACAGCCAGGACTGCAGCCCGCCCAGAGCTGCACTGCCTCTTGGGAGTGGGCTGTCTTCCTGGCCGGGGTTGGGGTGTCGCTCCCTTGTGATAGACTCACCACGTCCCGCTGCCCGACGGGGAGCAGTGAGAACCGGGCAGAAGGTTCCCAGTGAGGCCTGGAGGGTGGCCTGCGGGGGGCGGGCAGGTGTGTGTGTGTGTGTGTGTGTGTGTGTGTTTGGGGGGGCACTGAGGCCCAGCTGCACCAAGGTCCTGCCCGCCCCGAGGTGGCCCTGCCTGTTGCCCGGAGGGCTGGCGTCAGCCGGCTGCCTGCCTGGGGCTGTGATGCAGCATTTGGGTTCCGGGCGTGGTGTTTATGGGGTCTGTCTTATTCAAAGCTCTGCCTCCGAAATCTGTGTTCGCGCCTCCCATCCGGAGAGGAGCCGTTTGGATACAACCATGTGGTGTCATCGCGGCCTTAACAATACCGCCCTGGAGTGGGCCCCCCCGGGGGTGTCCGCCCTGCCCTGGCCTCGCAGCCGCCTGCAGACCCTGCGAGGCGATGGGCCCTCCGTGGGGCCGTCACTGGGGCTCACGGAGGCTCAGCGTTGGGGCTTCAGAAGCCCCGTGACGAGCTCAGGGCCCTCTCTGCTCAGAGGGTTCTAGGGGCTCCTCCCCGCAAAGCAGAGCCCCCGCCGGGGGAACCCCCAGCCAGCTTCTTGGGGCGACAGTCCTAGCAGCTCACAGGGCCTCGCCCTGCTCCAGGGGGTCACTCGCTCCTCCTGACGGAGGCACAGAGAGGTCAGGCTGCTCTCCCCAGGCCACACAGCGGATCGGCGGCTGAGCCAGGATCTCAGCCGGCCCGCTCAGGCCACACTCCTAACGTGCACACGGGAACACACGCATACACACACATACATGCCCGGCGCCTGGCCTGTGGGTTAGGCCCACGCGTGTGGAGTGCGGGTTTGGGGTCCGGCTGAGGGGACAGCTGGGGACCAGTCCTTCGTGAGGATCTGAGGAGGCCAGCCAGGGCCTCCCCCACCAGGGGTGCTGGTGTTCTCACAGGGGATGGGACAGAGTAGACACCCCTTACAGTGCCTGCCATCGGCACACAGACGCCTCCTCCCCCTTCCCTCCCCTCCCTCCCTGCCTCTCTCTCCCCCATCCTCCCTCCCTCCTCTGGCTCTCCCCTCCCCACTGCTCCCCTCCTCCACCGGAAAGGACAAGGCCAGAGCCTGAACATCACACACAGCTGAGAGCCCGAACCCCGGATGGGGAGCCGCTGGTTCCCCCGCCGCCCTGTGCGTGCCGGCTGAGCACAGGCCCGGCCCGGCCCGGCCTGGGTGCAGGGAGGACGGAGTGGGAAGCCCTGGGCTTCCAGGCGGGATTTCCGGCGTCTGTGGCATTAAGACCCTAATGCCGGTTTCCAGCAGCTTCCGATGGTCTAATAGAACTGAGGGTGAATCTAACTTGCAAATGTTCCTTTTGATCACACTTTTTCTTTCTTTTTTTTAGTTCAACAGGACAGGGTTTACAGGGGACAGGACCCCCCCCCCCCTTCTTGTTCCCAGTCTGGGTCTCCTAAGTCCTGGGATGCCTGGATT